ACAACTCTTCAATCAGAACTGCTTCCTTCAAACCCTACATGATACCAACTCCAACCTCTGCTTCTCCCTTGACGATTACTGCGACTTCGGCCCCAATTTCTTCTACCGTAATTGCCCCGGCGTAGTTAGCTCTGCCGATCGAGATAGTTTGAGCCGAACCTTTACTCTCCCAGGTATTCTATCGATTCAGTGTGCAAATTTTGTAGGCAGTGATAATGGTGAAATTAAGGGTTTTTCTAGGGATTGTGTTAGGCTTCTTCCTTTGGAGTTGTGGCTTGTTAGGAGTGAAATTGAGTCATTGAGGGATTACCCTATTGCCTATTCGTATAGAGTTCTTTGGATCATTTTGTGTTCTGTTATGGCTGAAGATTGTGATTTCCTTAGATGGGTAATTGTGAATTTGCCTTGTTATGATGTTGTGATTGATGTGCCTATGAGGGATCAAATAGTTTTGCTTTTTTAGCTTTGTTTGAAAGCAATTGTGAGGGAAGCTACTGGTTCGGTGGATTCAGTATTGAACATAGATGTGAGGGAGTTGAATCTAGCTGCTATGAGTTTATATCATGGATGGCTATTATTTCATGATATAAACTCTGTGCCTAATGATTTGCACGTACAACATTATAATTTCAGTTTATTTTCAATTGCGGGAAGTGGTGTGTGTTTTTGTTTTTAAATTATGGATGTGAGAACTTTCTGGTTTTTAAAATATTTCAAGTTCTCTTACTAAGAATTTAGAATTAGAAACAGCATCATAAGCAATCACTTGACCTGCTACTTTGTTTCCTCAGTGCACATCAAAGAAAGGTGGAAGTGAGACAATGGACCTGATTGATTGCAGAATAAAAGTTTGGTAGCCAGTGGACAAGCGGTAAGTATTTTGTTGGTTTAGAGAACAAGATTAAGGCCTCGTTTGGGAACATGCTAATTTAGTAATTTTTTGGCTATTTGGCTAAAATATGAGCTAAAAAAACTAGTGTGTTTGGGATGACTTTTTGGCTTTTTTACGAAAAGATGTGCAAAAAGTAGAGAGAAAAGAGAATATTTGACTTTTTGGTATGGGTTGTTGGCTTTTTGGCTAATTTAGAAACTTTTTGGCTTTTTGGCTAAAAGAGAGGGTTCCAAACAGGGCCTAAGCCATTTTTTAACAAAATAGTTGAGAAAGATAAAGTTGGAGCATGAGATGTGTAGGTCTATGAAATTGGGAATCTCTATTATATTTAAATTTCTAATTTATTATGTATCCATCTTCTGTTTAAAATTAAGCTCTGGATAATTTCCTTTCCAGGTAAAAGTAGTTAGATTGAGATGAGTCATATCCTTTCAGTCATAGGTTCAACACTTGAAAAAATATTTTCAATAACACCAGTGTCTACAGGGTTGGCCATGGCTTAGTTTTGTTCTTCACTTGGATTGTGAAAATGAATTTTATTTTCTTGTACCCATGAACACAGTGACCCCTTACCAAATTCTTCTTTAGTTCAGTTTCATGAAAGTTTCCCATTCTACTCCTTTGTTTAGGGCCATGGGTGGTCTGCTACTACTAGGAGTCTGCGACTTTTGATCAGTTTGTCACTCTGTTTTCTATGCCATCCATATTGGATTCTTTGGCATACATTAAAACTTTTCTTAATCCTTTGATTGAGTCATCTCAAATAGTTGACCTTGTTTATGACTTAATCAATAGCTACTCATAAGTTCTGTTCCATTCCTAATTGTGTCTTTCCTGCAAGGAAGCAAGGACACTTCCCTATATGTGACATATACACATTTTTGGACACGGATAGGTGTCAAACACTGGAGACATGCCCCAACATCTGTTAATTTAGTTTAACCTGACATGTTGCTGACTTGGTGAGGACATCCCTGTATGAGAATCAGACTCACACAGACCAAAAATGGCAGGGGCCAAACTCTAATTTTGGAAGCCATTTAATGAACGGTCAAAGTGGTAAAAATAAAAATAAAAAGCTTGATACATTCAGAATGGAAAGAAAATTTGACTCTACACTCGCACATCCCAATATTAGTGATGGGCCAAGATGACTTGTACCCAGTTGTCAGTCGCCTTGGCACATCCCAACGTGGGTGACTGGTGAAGATGACTTCTGCCCAGCGGTGTGTACCCCAGGGCCAATGACCTCTGGCTAGTGGAGAAGGAATTCTGGCATATTCTCTTTGGCCCTTGCTTGCATTGACCTCCCAGTCTTGTGGCCTTTGGCTGATGTTGCTTGGGTTGTCATGATGATTAAAAAATTATATATATTGATCTCATGTTTGCTCTTTAGCTACCATCTTTTGATTGCTTTGACGCTGCCAATTTTCATCAGCCAAATCAATTTGTGGGCTGTCTGGAGATGGATTACATGTGGATGCAAGTCTCAAACCCATTCATCATCTTTTTTTACTTTATTTATATTTTCTATTTGTCGAACATGACATACAAAGAAAAAATGGGAGAATCAAATCAAAATTTATATTTATAATTTCCAAATGTAAATATATATATGTATATATTGTTGTGGCTCTGCTGGTTTTATGGGTTTTGAAAATTGCCTTGTTAGCGTGTATATATATCCATGTGCTAATAAATTATTCAAAAGCATACCACATAATCTTGATCTAGGGAATGACAATCCTTGATTACCTTAGTAGTGTTTACTTTTTGTACACGTGGTTTGCACTCCAAAATCCTTGTGTGTATACACGCTGCTGCAAGAATTGTGTCTTGATGGTGTCTTGTTAAAATCAACAGGTTTTATGGAGTAGTGAAGTCTTATGACTTTGAACATAAGAAATATGTGGTAAGTGCACCGTTCCATGTTCTATTTTTTTATTCTAATACTTGTGTTAGTCATGTTTTGGAGATACACATTTTATTTATTTATTTATCAATAATGTTATAATTGTAATCTCATATGGTTCTTTGACATAATTTTCTCTGATCAATTTTGTGTTAAAGGTACTGTATGATGATGGAGATGCTCCGTTTAGATAAAGAGCGTTGGGAGCTTGTTGACAATGGTCACAAGCCTACAAAGGTTAACTTTATATTACAAATTCTATTGAAGCAATGAATTGGCCTTTAACTCTAACAATGTGTCTTTTTTACACCACCATTCACAACAGTTAAATTCATCGAAAGGTCTATCTAAAAAGGGATTGTGAGTAATGCCTTCTAATTCATATCTGCAATCTACAAATTGTTTTGTGGGAATTATATGTTTAAACGTGCAGAGGCTTGTGGCAGTATTGGTGCATGGATCTAATTTTATTTTATTTTGCAGATTGTCTGAGAAGAACATCTACAAGGTTTCATTTTCATTATGATTTATCCTAAACATTTGGCTTATAATAGTGTTAGTACATTTTGATTATGTAATTCTGTCTAGATATATAACCTGTTTCATATACTAACCATTAAAGCTTCATTAATTTGTTTAGGACCATGGAACTGTTAGTTGAGTATTGAAAGGGTAAAGAGTCCATCAAAACCAACTAAAACATTTTGTGTATAATGTTACAGATAATCAAAATCAACTAAAACATTTCTAACACCAAGTGGTGGAGAGGTTGCAGGTCCAAGGGATGCTTATTCATTACAATCTGGCTTTGTTTGGGATGAAGCATCTGGCTATTATTATGATGCTTCTTCTGGATTCTATTATGATGGAAATACAGGTATTTATTTATTTGGAAGCTACATTTTAGTTGTTGTTTTCCTCATTGTTACTATAAAAGTTGTCTTGATTTTATGTTTATGCATAATATAGGCAAATGTTGCAAGTGTTGTATCATGTGAGCCATAGCCCCCGTGATATCAATGTTGTGTTCTATAAGTGAAAGTTCTTATATGTGTTTCTCATGCAATTGGACTGGTGCACCAGTGTGGCATCCTAAATCTTTAACAATCTTATTCAATGTGCATCAAATAATTAGTTTCATTAATCATTGGTCTTGTGGTGGCGTTCAATTTTTAAAGGGCCTCTGGTTTGGATTTCTGCTGTCAACTGACCATTACATTGTGACAGCATTTCTATTTTGGAGTTTATGGTTGGCTTGGATTGCTCTGCATTTGTTGATGGTTTTCAGTATGGATTATTTTAAGAAAATATAATTTTAGTAATTGTTACAAGGTTTTTTATATTTGAAATTTTGAGCAGAGCCCCGATATTTCTACACTATTCAGAGAGATGAGAGGAGAGACATCACTCAATAGAATTGTACAACTTTGAGAGCAGTATTTGTTGGGTGCTGCTAACAAACCTATCCAATATACTGATGGGGGATCTTTCTTCCAAATTTTGAGGTTTACAGAAGGTTAATTTGTGGAGATATACAAAAGTTTTCATGAGGAATATTTCTTGAAAATAATTAATATTTTTGTTTTATAAAAAAATATTTACTCCTACCAATTTCTTCTTGTGTTTTTATTGTTGGTTCATTCACAGATGTCATTTCTCATGAACATATGGAGTCATGGCCACAAGAAGCCTTAAACCCCCCAACTCCATGATATTGTCATAAATAGAGTGAAATGATGATATTTTATATTGACATTCGCAACTTCTCAGATAGAAAATGTCATTATTGTTTTGATTTCAACATCTTCTTGTTGTTTTATAATTGTGAGAAAACTTGTGAAATATTCGTATGTCTTCATATTCTGTTTTATACTCTGAAAATTCAAAACAATACTAATCAATGAAGGCATGGTTTGCTAGTTAAAATTGGGTTAGTGGTAAACAAATATGTAACATAAAGTATTAATATTTTTTTTTATTTTTAATGCCATGATCAGGTGAAGCATATCTATGATAATATGTATTCTATTTTTATGCAAGCATGCTTTATTTTGCTGCTAATGAACTGGACGGGTACTAGTGCTAGTGGAGTAGACCAAATAGAATTTGGTCTAGTTTCTGATGAAGATCAATATTTTATTTATTTATTTATTCTTGTGTTTTGCAGGATTATATTATTATTATTTTTTTTTTATTTTTTTTATAAATGTGCAGGATTATATTATGATGGTAACAATGGGATTTGGTATTCTTATGATCACCAAACTCAGCAGTATGTCCCCTACTCTGATCAAAGTGACAATAAAACAGCTGGAAAACAAAATGTGAGATAAATTCTATACTTTTATTACTATTATATTCATGATACTTGTACACCTTCTTCATATTATCTAATTATTTGTAAATAACCTCTTGCAATTCAATGGAAAAAAGACTTACACGGAAACCGAACTTGATGAAGTGCGAGTTGAATGGATTAATTTCGTACTAAAGAATATGAGTTGAAATCCAATGTAAGTATGATATAACTTCCGTTATTTAAATTGCTCATCAACAATTTCTTTAGTTGGTAAGGAATATATAATCACTTCAAGATTTCATTTTAGATTTGTTGATTCTATGTATATTTGGTTTTATGACTTTAAAATATCTGCTCATACATTGAAGATTTTCATTTTGGATTTATTGATTCTATGTATATGTCATATTTATATATGGTAATCCAAACATTTTATACTAATAATAATCAAAGTTGTTATTCATTTTCTATTGATGCAGTAGATGACGAGTCAGTGTGATGAGAAAATGTTCGATTTTGTCTTTTGTAAGACAAGAACAATCTCTACAAAAAATATTAAGTTTATTCATATGCTTCTAGTGGTTTCGGAATTAATTTGTGTTTTTTATTTTTTCAAGTCAGAAATTTCTCGGAGAAATGCAAAATATGGTCAAAGAATTCAACAATTTCATTTTTTCAAGTTTTTTTATTTTTTAATATATGTAAGCACAGTTAAAAACTTTTTACTAATTCCTTTGTATATACTTTTAAACATTTAACTTTCATTTACGAAATATATGACGTTATTCCATTCAATATATGATTGTGATTCAAAATATAGTATATAGTGCACATTACATTCTTCAAATACATATAACGTGTGATCTTATCTGATTACTAATCACATGTTTTATTAGATATTAATCACACTTAAAATCTGTGAACTAAATATTTATTATCACATGTTTTATTAGTTATTAATCACACTTAAAAGATGCGATCTAAATATTTTTAATCACACTTAAAAGGTGTGATCTAAATATTTTTAATCACACTTAAAAGCTATGATCTAAATATTTTTAATCACACTTAAAAGCTATGATCTAAATATTTTTAATCACACTTAAAAGCTATGATCTAAATATTTTTAATCACACTTAAAAGCTATGATCTAAATATTTTTAATCACACTTAAAAGCTATGATCTAAATATTTTTAATCACACTTAAAAGCTATGATCTAAATATTTTTAATCACACTTAAAAGCTATGATCTAAATATTTTTAATCACACTTAAAAGCTATGATCTAAATATTTTTAATCACACTTAAAAGCTATGATCTAAATATTTTTAATCACACTTAAAAGCTATGATCTAAATATTTTTAATCACACTTAAAAGCTATGATCTAAATATTTTTAATCACACTTAAAAGCTATGATCTAAATATTTTTAATCACACTTAAAAGCTATGATCTAAATATTTTTAATCACACTTAAAAGCTATGATCTAAATATTTTTAATCACACTTAAAAGCTATGATCTAAATATTTTTAATCACACTTAAAAGCTATGATCTAAATATTTTTAATCACACTTAAAAGCTATGATCTAAATATTTTTAATCACACTTAAAAGCTATGATCTAAATATTTTTAATCACACTTAAAAGCTATGATCTAAATATTTTTAATCACACTTAAAAGCTATGATCTAAATATTTTTAATCACACTTAAAAGCTATGATCTAAATATTTTTAATCACACTTAAAAGCTATGATCTAAATATTTTTAATCACACTTAAAAGCTATGATCTAAATATTTTTAATCACACTTAAAAGCTATGATCTAAATATTTTTAATCACACTTAAAAGCTATGATCTAAATATTTTTAATCACACTTAAAAGCTATGATCTAAATATTTTTAATCACACTTAAAAGCTATGATCTAAATATTTTTAATCACACTTAAAAGCTATGATCTAAATATTTTTAATCACACTTAAAATATGTGATTAAAAATGACCCCTTTTAATCACACTCCCAAAGATCACACTTTAACAAAACTAAAAGGTGTGATTAAATAACATACATCACACAAAAAAAGTGTGATTTTTATATGTTTTTGTAGTAGTGTCATTTTACTTTTGTGTATATTTTGTGATGAGGCCTCTCAGAAAGCATTGAGGTAGAAGAACAACATAGAGCTATTAATTTGGATGAATTGTAGCAACTTCATATTCTTTTGCTTGTAACTTAGATAAAATTTGATTAGAATAGGGAGAGATTTCAAAAAAATAGAAAGAACACAATCAATTTGCTGTGAAATTCCATGTGTTCTTTTTTCCTTATCCTCTAAGCATGTAAGTGAAACATAATAAAAACCAAATAAGTGGCAAAATGAGAAAGGGAAACTATTAAACATGGATTGGAAGGCTCACATAATAG